TGGTATTTAATAAAATTATAAAGTTTATTTTTTCTCGACTCAGATTATTTGCAAAAGTGTTTCTACTTAAAGTAGAAGTTAAAGATTTTTAATTCTAGGCTTAAAATGATTATATGAAGATAAAATAAAGTATCGAAGTAAATTTTCTGATATTCCTAAAAACATTGTGAAAATATTTTTAAGTACAACGATTACAAAACAAATAAAGTATCATGTACATTAATTTACACATCGCTTAAACATTCTTTTCATATTACTTTGTCAGACTTAAGTGTATTCCTATTTTCGTATCAAGATTCTCGTCATTAGCAAATACCATAAAAAACATTCTCGATCGCACGCTTATCGTTCAAGTACGTTGAAGTCAATAAGATTCTGCAAAAACGCGCTCTTTGTACCACATCGTTCGAAAAGTGAACGATTAATTGTAAGGTATTGTCTTCGCAGAATCTTAAGTTAGCATTTTAAAAACATTTTTTTTACATTTCATTTGTATAAGTATATATTTTCTGTAAGTACTTTTTTTATTGTTAAAGGCGGAAGTTGACGTAAGTTTCTACAGAAACTGTTGGATAGAAACATTTAGATGTTGCAGAGGAATACATATTGAGATGTCAATTTAGGTATTTTTTAATTTTTTTATTTTATGCAAACAAATAAAACTAATACCATTTATTCAGATATTTTGTGCGACCAAATTAATGAATTTCTCGAATGTTACAACTATTTTTTTTTGTACAAACCATGGTACACTTCATTGGAATATCATACGTAATACTTTTAATCGAATTATCTTACGATCTCTTTTGACATCTACATGTTCCTACCTAACTTATACTTCCAGAATATAATCAATGACTCTCATATCTGTGAGGATGTGGCATTCAGTAACTATTACTACTCATAATTTCTCGTTTTTTCGAAAATATAATACTATAAAGAGGAATCATAATCATTTGTATGCATGTAACAACAGAATTAAATTCAATCAAAGCTAGCCTCAGGCCGTGCCAGCATCAAACACAAAGACAGTTACCCGTTATCAAAAGTCAAACGCCACTAACTGACCTATCGTTATTCGCGATTGTCGTCGACGTCCATCAAAATCACGTGCATCAGTAAACGCCTGATCATAGATGGCTGGATTCGCACCTTTGTCGTCGTCGTTGTCGTTATCATTGACTTGAAATCCCTGCCCAACTATACCACATTCTCATTTCCACGTCTTCGTTGAGAACTGATCTTGAACCTGGCCACTGCAATTCTTTGAATTAGAAATCAAAGAATATTTTATAGCACAGCCCGAGTCCGTGACGATGTACGAACCGAAATGCAAGGTATCTTCTACCATGCTGGATTCGACAAACTGGCTCGCAGCCAGCTCTCACACCATCCGTAAAGACTCTTTTGGCAGAAGCTCGTCGATGGTCTTCCTCCATGTCAGCCTTTGTCTTCTGTGCTACGTCTCGACGAGAATCGAAGACTTACGGACTGTACCTTCCATACACCCAGATGCAGTGAGGGCCGCAGTCAAATCCAAGTTCTCGTCGAGAGCTCCGATTGACATTGATTGGATCTTTTTGCTGATTGATTGGTGGACATTTAGAGAGGACTACACTCACGACCTACGTCAGTGCAGATTCTCTTCAATCCAGATGCGTTATTTTCTTTTTGTTGCCATCGTCTAGGTGTAGCGATCCTGATACGACAATCTTTTCCTTCATTTCCAGATAGTGCCTTAGCCTGAGAGCCGCGAAATCCTAAACACACGAAATTGCTAGTTTGTAATGTACTGGACTAAAAAGTTGCTTAAAGCCATGTTGATGGTAAAGAGTTTGTCTTTGGTTTCATGAGAGAGTAAATTATTCCAAAACTTACCCAATATCCGAAGGGAATTTGTGAGAATTTGGCATTGACTATGCTCCATAGGCTCCAGAATAAGTGACCAATGAGGGAGAACAGCTTGACTTCTGCCATGATGCGATCCTCCTCTGCACGGCTCTCTTTTCCAGTGGACCTCAAATAGCTCCTTATGAAATTGAGCTGTCAAAAGTAAAACAACGTTAGAAGGGAGTAATGACTCGATAAAAATTTTAAGTCTACTACAAATCACCGGTTGAGTTTAAATGATTTTCATTTCAATGCAATGAGTTTAATCTGAGTTTTTAAAAAAAAGTAAATTGATGTATACTGATTCGGCAATCAAATTTTAACTATTATTAACGATTAAGCTCATAGCCAAGTGATTACACAATTTATCTAAGATTCAGTTTTTGTTGGAAGAAAAGTACTTTAAACTCGAGATTAATTTTCCAAGGTATTGTGCAGCATTTCGAGCTCAAATAAATTAGACAAATTGCGCAATCGAAGTAATTGATTGGTTACGCGACTTGTGTTTCTCAATTGAGCAAGGCTCTGGTAATAAATGTACATTTTTAAATAATAATAATACCAACAACAATAACAACATAACGCGTAAACTGCTCAGCGTTTAACTATTTTGTGCTTCAATAACATTTTGTATACTTCAAAAAATAAAGGTCAACTTATGACTGACCAAGTAAAGGTGGGTATACTAATCTAGGTATGGAAGAAACTGTGGAAATGAATATCTCAAAAAGAAAAGACGAATTACGATAATCAGTACAGTCTCAATGAATCAAGTAATTTCTGTTAATAGACAAGTCATAAAACTAGTATCCCAGAACCGATTCATTGAAAGTCATTAAATTTATGAAGTTGAAGGAAAAATTTTTGTACGCATTGTAATGTAATGCTACGTTACTAATTAAGTTATTATGTAGCTTTACTGTTTGATGATTGATTGATGCTGATAAAAATCAAGCAATGGTTGATGAAATGAAATAGCGAACACAATGCAGTTCCAAGATTACATTTGTTAGTACGAAAATAAAATTGATTCGTTGATGTTGTAAATGTGTTAAATACTCAACAAACTTCCCCTTATTTCAATTTTTAAATAGTATAGGAAAGTAAAATGCAAAAAAATCTCGATTGACCGAGGCTCTACTTGATGATTTGCTTAACTTTCCCATTAAAACTATTCAAAATAAATCAAATATCAAAAGTTCTTCATTCAACGGAGCTATAATACAAAATCAGGAAAATGCGAGGTATATTAAAGGAGATAAAAAAAAATTCAAAAAAAATTACTGTTTGCTCAGCACTTGGTAATGCAATAAAGTACGAGCAGTTAAGGAAAAAAAAAAGAGATATATAGTACGTACAAAGAGTAGGTAAATACAAATTTTTATGAAAAAGTATTTTAGTAGGATTATCAGCAAGAACATCATAATATTTTAGTTCTCACGATGGTATATAAGTGAATGCATGATCTCGTCTGTGTTATGAAAAAATCAACGCAACAATTTCATAGCTTGTCGATAAAAATGAGCGAACAAGCCATTCAGTATTTCTCATTAAAACGCAAACCGTATGTCTCCACATAAAAAATAAAATTTAGTCCGGCCTTATCTTTTTAGGGTTGCTCACCCGAAGAGCGTTTTTTAAATTTTTATTTATTATAAGAAAAAAATAGCGAAATACGGTTTAGTTTCAAAAAATTGTTTTCAAGTTTAACAGTCATTTGTCATTTGTATGGTCAATATTGCTAAGAACTTCAAAGTATGTGCGACAAGTTTGAAATTCAGTGGCATTAAAAGTAATTCGTGATCAAACGGTGGCGTATAAACTATTTATAATCAACTAAAGTAGCTTAATCTGATGAAATAATATAAAATTATCTGAGTACTCATATTAAATGATTTGTTAAGAGTGTTGAGGGTAAAAATTAATCGGACGGACTTAAATCAAAATATACAAGTGATAGTTATTTGATAAATAGAACGAAACTATTATTATTTTTTTACTTCTCAAATACGTTCCCTTCAAATGTGCAAGAAAAGCTATTTTAAAAATGTTGTGCACGATCTTTGTGGACTAAAAAATGGGTAGCCCGCAAAGAGCGATGCACTTATGCACTGAAAGAAATATAAATAAAGAACTAGAATCCCTATCAAGAAAACTTGAAAAAATGTTTTTGCTTATACAGCTTGGACACAAAGATTGTAGAAAACAAAAAAAGTTAAAGAAAAAAAAAAAAAAAATTAAAATAAAAAAAAAAATTAGAAATGGCTCGCTCTCGTTGTATATATATTTTTCGTTTCATTTTGCTTTATATAAATTATGCATCGTTTACGCGTGAAGGTTATAAAAAATCGGCTATTGAGAGTGCGTGGTAGAGGTACTCTATTTATAATGATGCAGAGACGTGGGCGAAGGACGACTCGGTTGGCATCCCTTGTGGGGCCGTCCCTTGACACTCCTCCAGGAGTGTCTCTAATTGATAGGCCGACTTTGTGTCACAGCTCCGTCATCTTCTTCTTCTTCTTCTTCTTTTGTCCTCCTCACCCGTTTGATGGACAGCGTGTCTTGCCGTTTGAACGATCATCGTCATGTGTACGTCTGATCTCGCACACTGGTTCCCCCGTACGCAAACTACGTGTGGGTGAGCCCAGCTTGCCAGGCAACATCATGACCATGAGTGTGCCTTTCTCGCTTGCTCTCTCGCTCGCTCTCTCTGTCAGCGTGCGACTTGCGGTCCTGTGAAACTAATACATACACACGCAACACACGCCATGGTGTCCTAGCCCTGATCCTGTTTTCTATTTTTTTTTTTTTTTTTTTTTTTCTTTTATTTTCATATTTTTACTTTTATTTTTATTTATTTTAAGCTTCGCCTTTGTTTGTTTTGCTTACTTCTGATTTGTTTTCTAGACATCGTCGATTTTTTATGTTTAACAACGCATACAACAATAATACGTAGGTTCGTATCATAGAATCAAGACATACAATTAGGAAGGTATATATCAGCCATGCGTTCTTGTAGTTTGCAATAAACCACTTGAGACGCTATGGAGTTGTTAAAATTCATCAAAATAAAAATATCTTATAGCAGTTTTTTTTTTTTTTTTTTTTTTTTTACTATAAATCTAAGTTAAAAAAATATAAGGGTGACAACATTTAAATTACTACATTGACAGCGCATTGAAATGCGCGAGTTCAAAAAAGACTAATTTGATTTGACTGTTGATTAAAATAATACCAATTGCTCTGCAATCATTGGAATTGCTTGCATTGGCGATATAAGTATGTTTTTTAAATAATTTTGAAGAATGTTATGATATGTATCATGATTTTATTTTTTTTTTTTTAATTTGTTTTTACTGTAATGGAAAAATAAAAAATTGACAAAACAATTGTCGTCAGCGAAACAGTATAACATCGTACATCGTGCATCTCGATTAGCAATTGTCATAAAAGTGATAGTTGCTAATTAAAAAAAAAAAAATAATAAAATACATTTAAGTGAGAAATAATTTCTTAAAAATGCCACAATCTAAATATTTAATTATCATAACATGGAACTAGATACACAAGGTAGGACGTTTGAAAGCATCCTTTATACATGACATGATTAATGTCTACGTGGCTTTCAGTTGAAACAATTAAAGCAATGTGTGAGCTTAACCACACCATGTATAAAGTAAGTCAGACATATATTTTTTGAATAAAATATATGTATGATTGAATATTAGTATGATGCTTTCATCGGCAAAACAATTTGAAACTTTCATGTAATAAGTATCACCGATTCCAATGAATGATTAAAAAAAGTCAAATTGAACTCTGTCTCTCTCTCTCTTTCCCTCATAACAAATGTAATGGTTTCAATAAGCTGAGTGTAAAACAAAGTAAAGTCGATATGTTGACTCATAGACGGACAAAATAAACGAAGAAATGTAATATCTGCATTTATATGACTTTGTAAATTGAATCTTACCCAAAAACGAAAGAACTCCAGACGAGTTTCAATTTCAACAACCCACCCCAGTCTCCCCCAAGGCGCGTCTTACCTTTTGTTCTTTGGTCGGTACAGATCCAGCTCGCTCGGTAAAGAAGGGATATGTAGGCACCGTGTAATCGTACTGCCATTCTAGGAAGTGGTTTGCCACGTCAAAGCCTCGATAATTGTAGGAACAGTATTCAAAATCGATTACCACCAGTTCGGGCTTTTGGGAGTTCTGGCGGAGCAAAATGTTGCCCTCCTGCATGTCGTTGTGGCAAAATACAACCGGGTGTTTCTGTTTATTGACTAGAGACCTGTAAATCAAACAAAAGACTGTGATGAATTGCTCCAAAAAATTAACGCCACAACTGATTATACAGAATATATTTATATCTTTCAATTATTATATATTTTCTAGTAACAACAAAGGTCTTATTCAACAAATTAGAGGACCATTATTCTCAATGGGTAAAATTTATTGCCACCCATCTGTTGCAAGAAAAACTCAGATATTTATTTAATCAATCCCTGAAATCCCTAGGTTATTTCTTGCAAACTAGTTTACTCAATTTTTATGTTGAATGCATGTACAATAAGAATTCCCAGAAAAACTAGAGTGAGTTAACATAACCTACATTTTAGAGGGGTACATGGAGAATGAGGTTAATGAGTTCCAGGAGTAGTGGAGTGGGTGACGATGGAAAGAAATTCCACTCAATAATGCTATTAATTTGTTATTTATTTTTTTCACGATATCGTAAATACTTGTCATTTTAAAACAAATCACTTCATTAATATCGTAAAAATAACAGAGAATTTTACGCACTGTCATTTTTCAGAGTCAGAGATAATACAATAGTTAAAATGTATTATTAGAAATTAACTTTTGTTCTAACTTGCACATTTGAGTATTTGCAATTCATTGCAACGATAACGCCATTGGTGTCAGAATTTTAGTATTTATACTTTATCGCTGTTAATGACCCCAATACGTTATTTTATATTCAATTCAGTTTCAGATTTTTAAACATTATAAATGCCAGCAACACTTAGCAGTTATTAGCAGGATATTTTTTGCGACTAGAGAATATTTCACCTCAGTTTTTTTATTACATTTTAGATACTTTCTCGTTTTAAGATTTAACACTCAAACGCAATAATAGCTCAATTGTTAATCGAATAGTGCCAATATTAGATGTCCGAAGCGTATACTAAGAATTTTCATATTTTCATAAAACCTAATAATTGTTTTAAAAATAACAATTTTACGACAGTATAGATATTAAACCCTCGAAAATAATTGAATTCGTTAGAGCTGGCTTTTTGGAGCATGCCAGCAACGACCTTTCAAGTAACATCCCAGCTTGAATCACGTAACTCGCGTATCCCCTTAACCGGACGTCTGTTTGAATGACCCCCACCCGCTGATATGCTTTCTTGCTAGCCATGAAAAAAGTAAGTACAGCCACTCACCTCAACCACTTGATTTCGTGCTCAAGATCGGCGGCCTTGATGAAGTTGACGTTTTCGAGATGCTTGCCATCGATATCCTCGACGTTCTCGAGAATGTCATTGGCTGTGTCCAGCCACTTGTTGGCCGTGTCCCAGAGCCAAGTAGGCTCCTTGCTGATCGGCACCTGCATGCTGTGTATCTGGGCCATTTTCTCGGCTATGAGGCAACTGAGGCTCGGATCGGCGAGCTCCTTGGTGAGCAAGGGCCGCGCAGGTATGTACTCCTCGATGCGGCCGCCCGGGAATATGCCGTGGAGCTTCGGGCCCAGCCGCCTCTCCGACAGTAGGGTGAAGATCACGGACTCGGTGATGAGGCCCTCGAGGGCGCGCTCCCCGTGCACCTGGCCGTACAGCCGCAGCAGGACCTGTCTTGGCTCGCCACGCACCGGTATCGCGTTTTCGGGAAGCTGGACGTTGTACAGCCAGTTGCTCAGACCGCCGCTGCGATGGGGATGATGGTTAATTTTTTTTTTTTTTTTTTTTTTTTTTTTTTTTTTTTTTATTTAATTTTTTCACAAGATGATTGTAAGACAAACAGCAGAAATGGCTGGATCTATTTTTGGAAAGCCAATTTTCGTGGAATTTATGTGAAAAAACGTCAAGAAGGTCCGTAAAACAGGTTTTTTGCCGTTTTCGATGCGAAACAAAAATTTCTTGCCAATAACGAAAAATAGTCTGAAAAAGCGCTTGAAAAGACAAAGAAAATAATTTTTTTTTTTTTCAGTTCAAATCGGTCGACAACTTTTCCCACAAGAAAATAAAAAACCACCGAAAATTAATTTATCGTGAATTTTTTGGTTTTGACATGATACACACAATTTTCAAAATGATTAATGATTCATATTTATAACCCTACTCGGAAAAACGAATGATGAAATAATAGTACACAGAGAATATTGCCACAGAAATGTTTATCGTCAAAATTGCCGAAATGTTGAGACACCACGACAGTTACAGTTATTTTTACTCTAGGTTAAAGTTATTTTTACCATAGTGTGAGAGTAATTTTTGTACTAAGTAAAAAGTATATTTTAAAATTTCTATGATTTTTACTGTAGCCCCAGGATAGAATTTTCTCATACCACAAATTCCCGGCAACGAAGCAGGGCTACACTAAACATTTTATAAACAACCTGAATTAGTCCCAAAGTTTTTAAAGAATATGGTAAGAATACTTTGGAAAAGAATTTAAACAAAAATTATCATCACTTGGAGGGCTTGTTTATGATTCCCTATTTATGTCCTTTTACTATCAACTTAGCAGTATTTTTTATGCTAAAAAAACTTTTTCTTAACTGTTTTCTTCGTGACAATTATTATCTCAATACATTATATTATGATATGTAATACATATTATGATCAAGATCTTATATTCTGATGTTTCAACGTTTAACGATAAGAAAAACGATACGTCACATCCTGATTCATTTTTTTTATCAAACCAATAACCTAAAAATTTCCGATTGTTAAAAAAAAAAAATCTGATTATTCATGCAATACATATTTAAAATCTACATACTTTTTCGCTTCTCTATTTTCTCATTTATGGCACGCGTACCACTTTTTTCCTCATTCATCGATCATAACTACTAATAATCACGCTACAGACCAAGGTCAACTATTCGTATGGATTAACACGAAACATGCAACAACATATAGGTACTAAGGCAACTTTCACACGCCATCCTTGTAAAGCAACTCCAATCCGAGATTAGAGCTGTTACTTTTGTCAACATGCATATTATATATTACATGGATTATTTACTCACCTGATCCTTTTAAGAACAATATTATCTGGGGTAACGTTTTTCCACACACCATACAAGTAGTCGCGGCAAATGCGCGCCGCAGTAGCCCTCATTTCCGGGTTGTGCTCAGACATCTGCAACAACAAAAAAATAAAAGAAGTTTGCATTAAAATTTACGTAAATTTTGCAATGAATTACTTAGAGCACCTAATATCACTCTTTCGTGGTTAAATATTCATACAATAATTATTGAACCCTAGAAACATACAGTACCACAAGTTCATATGTCAAGAAATGAAAAATATTGATAAGTTGCAACGATACTTAATATCAGCCAACTCCTTTATTTACATGTTTTAAATATTTTTATAGACACATCCATATACCATGACCTAACTGTTTAATGAAAAAACAATAAACTACGATAAAAATAATAATAACAACGTTGTCGAGACTAGATAAGAGAAAGAAATTGATTTATTGTTATTTTTCTTATCTTCCGATGGATTTCAGACTCAATATTGAGTTGTACACATCACACTTAACGATCTAATATCTTTTTAATTAGCGCATCATTCTATATCAAACTCTGACTTAAATACTAACTTTACGTCAATCTGTGACAAATCCACGCGTCAAGACTTAGTGTAACTTTTCTCCCACCCTACCATCTAATGCATTTTTTGAAAATGAATGGAACTAATGAATCATTTGATGTCAATACCGTTTATCCTGATTTTTTTTGTCTTTTATCAACAAATTTAATGTCATATAGCTTCTACTTTAATTTTGTAAAAAAAAAGCAAAAAATAATTCTGAGCGAACATTTGCTTATTGCTGATAAAAAATGAGTACGTCCCGACTAAGGAAAAAACACTCTATGGTAGGTAATTACTAACTTTGTGAAAATAGTAGTTTTCCTACGAGTTTGAAAAGTCTCTATTTGCGAACCGAGAGGTTTGCGGCCCGAGCCGAAGGCGAGGGACGTAACGAGGTTCGTAAAGGAGACTTTTCGAACGAGTTCCGGAAAACTGCTTTTTCGCCCGAGGAAGTACCAGCCTCCCAAAACCACCCGAGTGCGGAAAACTTATTATTTTATATTAATGACAAACGGAAAAATCCAAGAAAGGAAGTTAGAAATTTTTATTGGTTGCGACTCTTAAGACTTTTTTGAGAAATGTCGCATAAAATAATTAAAACAGTTTTAAAGTTTGATGATCGTGTGAAATTCTTTGATAACAAGCCAACTTATCGATCCACTGTTGCGGAAAACCAAGGTCAAGTGCAGTGCACGCATTTGGCATTCGTCGTTGTAACACGTCGCATAACATTATTTCCCAAAATATTTATGGACACGATAAATTTATCACCCTGACATCAAAGGACTTTTTTTGCAAGGCGGTCGATACACAATTTTGACTTTGCTAAAACTGCATCCAAGCAATTATACAATAATAAAATTGTTTTGCGTGATTTTTATAAATATAATTTTTTCCCCCAATCATCCTTATTCTTAAGGTTGCAATGAAATTGAGAACATTTCTTTCACAAATCTATTTTTATCAAATGCATGCGTCAGAATCACATGTAACATACTTTTATTTGTCACCTTAATTGTATTATAATTATAATAAAGCTAAAAATAAATTAATTGATTATAAGTCAAATACTTTTTTTTATAGTTATTAGTAAATATGAAATATAAAATAACGATATGAATTTTGTATAATCTTCCTCCATATGTTTTTGTCTGAAAATAATTTATGTATAGCTAATTCGTAGCTAATTTAATATTATTAATGTTAGTAGTTGGTGTTTTTGTTTTACATAAACGTACATATTTAATCATTTTCTACTATGATTGACCGTACATGTTAAACATTATTAACTCTGGTCACGAATGACCAACTTCTATTACAACTAATATTTAATTAAAAATTTTAACCAATGAATAGCTGAAAGCTTCAATTATTCTCATATTATTTTTATTTTTCAGTAACAAGGTGAAAGAAATATTGTTTACAAACTCATTTGATAAGAACTGATTTTTTTTCTCACATCTATACCTATTCCAATAAAAAAAAATCTTTTGTGCTTGGTAAAAATATATACCGACAGAATAACGTATGCGTGCGACTCATGCATTTGACAGTAAGAATAAAATGATAGCAAAAAGACGTCGACAATGATCGATCAAACAAAAGATATGTGTCCCCTTCCAAAAACACTTCCTACTCACGATACACGACAAAGTATAATACTAAATAAATAAGTATTCACTCGTACTTCCACTAAAAACTTCATCCACCAATCTCACACGCCATGCTTGTGCTCGCTTGTATATCCATTACCATCGACTTTACGTACAGTCAGGCCTAAGATCTAACAACATAGATAAAGACAGCAATTAATTTTACCAATTTTTATCGCAGCCGTGATAAGGTGATAGTTTTCACATGCGTTTGACGTAAACGAGAGCAACTCTTGCCATTATATCCGAGGCACCGTCGAACGACTGCTTAAATGGTACAAGACTTGCGCGTGTGAAAGAGGGTAGGGCTGGACTGAGTTTGCGCACTCCAATGACGGATCAATAGAATTTCGCTTACTGTCTCCTTACTGCTGTACTTATATACATGTATGTGCCCACGCGTAAAACACGCTTCTATTATACCGTTTTCTTGTACGTATCCAGAGACAACTCTCGACAATTTTTTATTTATTTCATGTAAAAATCCTCGTGTATACATGCGTGTCATTGTAAAATATTTTGAGCACTTCAACATATTTATTAGGTTATTGGGCGCTTATGATGAAATAACACTGATAAACAGGTCAGGATACGTGCTGCAGTATTAAAAAAAAATAATTTAAAACAATCACGCTTGAAATTTCCTCCGCGTATTTTCAAAATATTACGATAATCAATACAATCTAAAAAGCCTCTGTTAATGGATAAGCACAAAGCATAACAAATTATAAGATTTTTAAACCAGGACAAACTTAATACTTGGTAAAAAAAAATAGAGGTCAAGATGGAGGATGTGTCAAAATTATAAAATAAAAATAAAAACAATAATTTGGTGCTAAGGTTAAACTCTGATTCCCTTGTTTTTAGGTGAAATCGTGCTCTCTTCTTAGGTACTTCTAGAAAGTTACACCTTCCCATTAAGATTTTTTATCACAGTCCAATTATCAATATCCAATTGCTACATATTAATCAATGCTTACATTTTTATCAGTTTTAAAAAGAGATAACCAGTTAGAAAATATTTTTATTAGTTGAAAAATTGTTTTATTAACCTTTAACAAGGTACAAAACTATCTATTTATTTTTTAGTAGATATGAAAATACGTCAACGAACGTTTCGAATAACTATTAATTAGTAATTAGTCTATATGTCAAGAAATGAAAAATATTGATAAGTTGCAACGATACTTAATATCAGACTAGAGACCTGTAAATCAAACAAAAGACTGTGATGAATTGCTCCAAAAAATTAACGCCACAACTGATTATACAGAATATATTTATATCTTTCATTTTTGCGCTCTTTAATATAAAATTCTTTTAAAAATCATATTAAAATTCTTATAATAATCAATTACAATAAACTGTTTTGGACAATCAAAAATATTCTTGTCGTATAGTTTTGTCCTGGGTTCAGTAAATCTATCCACAGGGTCTGTGGGTCGGTAGAAAAATATCAAAACTTCTTTTAGAAAAAATAGAAAAACTTTGTCAACTACTTTTTAATTTGTTCGAAGTGTAATTTTTGCTAAAATTATTACGCATTATTTGTAGTGAAAAGTTTTTTTTTGTAACATCTACTTATTACACAGTACTTGAAAACTTTTTTTTCCAACATAAATAATTCATTACAATTTAAAATAAAAAATACCAAAAAAAAAGGACAAAATATTTAAACATTATTAATATATTTGATTTTAAATACTTTACAAGAAACTACATAACCTAAAATGTTTTTCACTGTCAGAAAAATTATTTCCTCGATATAATATTGTGAATAGTGATGAATACAAAATTTCTTCAGCAACAAAATCTAGTTTGTTAAGAAAAAAAATTTTATTTCAAGTGATTTAATATCTATAAAATAATTACGACCACGACTGTGTACAATCAATACTTTATTATTTCGCTGACATTGCGACATCGCAATCTTGGCACGAGTGTTTTTTCAGATAGGTGGCAATAGTTTTTGCCAGAACTTGCCAAAACGTCAATTTCAGCAAAATAACAGTAGAAACAGGCTCATATAATTGAATTTCATGCTACTTAATGAGGAAAAACATGTGGCGCACGTGTAAACAATAATTGCAGAAAATTGCTTGAGCTGCGCAAAACTAAATTTAATTTTCTCACGTGAAAAAAATAAAGTATCCAAGAAAACTGACTGACAGTAAGTTATTGACATAAACCTGAAACGAGAGACACGAAAATTATAATTCTCATGAATTTTAATACCTAATGCGATGTTGGTCTCAAAACATTAAACGGCCAAGCGTGTGTATAACGTATGAAACGATGACGATTCTTCGTTGTCACGTGTAATTTATGAATACGAGCCTCAATCGACCGATACAAAAAAAAGCGTCGTTGAAACAAGGCGGCTGGTATCAGGTGTATAAACTTGAATGCAACGCGATGCGTATACTTCAAAGAGTTCATTGTTAGCTATGAGGTGGCCGCCGACATGCCTGTACAATCAGACGGCTGTTGCCATTTTTTGTTTTCACTTCGCGCGGAGCGTATACATTTTCTGGGCTCAAAAGCGTGTGTTTGAACTTGAGCTTGTTGTAATTTTTTACGGCATGCAGAAAAATGTATTGAGCAAAGTCTGATGCATCAGGAGTGTTGGCAATTTTTTTTTTAATTCTATGTATAATACAACACATGAAAAATTCTTTTTTAACAAACATGCATCAAGTATGTTTAGAACAAGAGAACATACGGAAGAAAAAACGTGTGTCGTAGTATTTAAAAAAAGTATTGATACCTTGCATTATTTTTTCTGAATTTTTATTGTTGTAAGTGATAAAAAAATATCTCAATAAAATGATTCATTAAATTTTTCAAAAACAAAAAAAAATTTAATTTTCAAGTGTTGAACAG